GTTATGAGAAGTATGTGGAAGGCTTATTTTACATAAGTCTACCCTCTACAATACGAACAGGTGGAATTTACGCAGCTCATTTAAACACTTTTCCTGAAGATAGAAGAGTTTGTTGAATCTGACGTGACATGTTCGTACGAACCCTTTGTACAAACAAAAGTAAGAGAAATTTAGGAGAAGAATACGAACATGTTCTTGCATGAGGCCCAATGTGCATTCCTACAGGGGATGGCTGAACCTTTAATATTTCTGTACAAAGCCCTGACTTTCAGTCAAATAATACTTCCCAACATCATGTTACTACTAACATTAAATGTTTGATGAAGTAACTTTTAATTACTTATTTAAACAGATAAACCATTCATTTTGTAATGTGAATTGACAGTGGTTCATCCTTTCTATTGCCTGGTTTTCCATGCAAACATTTTAGCTGCACAGGTCTTGTTTGAAAGAGAGGAGTCCCTCAAAGCTGGCACTACAAATGTAATTTTTATAGAGCTTTTAGAAAATAACAGGTTATGATTTATTGGCTTTGATTCTGGGAGTGTCATAGTATTTATGTGTAGCTGTAGTAAAATAGTCTAAATCTAGTTTTGGGGCTTTCTACTAAATTGTGTTGTCCATTGGAAACCATGTTTTCAAAGAATAATACATCTAATCCGAATTTGGACTCTATAACAATAAAACAATAAATACAGACAAAATGCGTTATTGGGATTGGATTCAGTCATTTATGTCGGAGGAGGAACCCGGGGTGTGAGACAGATTGTTACTCTGTGACAGATGAGGTCTCTCTACCTTTGAAACTGTTCACAGAACTGTAAAACAGACCTATTGAACACAGACGAGCTTGAACCAATTTACTGCGACACTTTGAAAATCAGTGTGGGACCGACGTAATGCAGTCCTCCCCACTGCACCTGATCCACCTTCAGTCCAAGCTCTGCTTTGGAAAGAGTTAAAGGTACACAAAAAAATCTATTAAAGTAAAACAAACCATCATCACTCTGAAACATTTTCCTTATTTTATTTTTTTACTTTTCTACACACAAGTGCATAATCAAAGTAAATAAGTTTTAAAGGGGGAAGACCCAGAAACTCATGAGTTTAACAAACTAGGTCACCATCTAAACACATGCAGTGCCCTTGGTGCTGCTTGAAATAGACTCAGTGCTCTTTTAAACTTAAGACTGCTCCACAACCTCTCATATATATATAT